TACATAATTGTGATAGGTTAAGTCAAGCTAACACTGCTCTTCCATGTGAATGCACTCATACAAACTCTGGTTTCACGTATCAGGTTGATACACAGCTTCATGTGACCGTTAGCTTGATCTCTTATGTCAGAGTTAGTGAAGCCAGGACGCCTTCTTGGGCCTCAAGCGGATATGTTCAGGGCACTGATCGTTTTGGATCGTTGAAGCTTCACTGATAACTTTAAACAGCCATTAACATATTTCATGGTGTGTTGTGTGTATTCAGGGCACAATGGAAGAAACACGCACACACTGTCTGTTTAGAAATAAAGACTTCAATCTTCCATATAAATATAAATGTGCCAGTCTGCAGGCGCACCTGGCTCCTAAAAGGAATGAAGACTGTGACTGTAGTTGTTTGATTCATGTAACACCCAAATCCCACAGTGTATTATCAAGGGACCTAATCCAACATCCACCAATATTTTGTGAGCATAACTAGCAAACTGTAGTCGGACATGCCTCAAATCACATTGTGCTATGAGTTTTGGACCAAGCTTTAAACACTGTCAAAGTAGGGCCCTTAATTTGAAGCAAGAGACTGTGTGTGTTTTGTGCATGTTCTTTGATGGGAATTGTCTGTTTATACAGTAACGGTGCTGTGAAAAAGAATTTCCCCATGGGGACAATGAAGTCTAAAGTCTTTTAAAGTCTTTCATGTCAATATGAAATCTTGAGTTTTCTGTAAGTTTTTCCACACAAAGAGCAGGAAAGTGTCAAGTTCAGTCTGACAGTATTAGTAGTATGACTTAGAAAGAGAGGGCTTGGGTGGAGAGAAAAAAAGGTTAAATAATACAAGGATGGGAGAAAACCCCGGATAGAGAGACTGATAAAAAAAAAAGACGTAGAGATGAGCACAGAAGTGAAAATGGAAAAAAAACAAACCTATCAGTAGCGACCTTTAAAAAAGTGAATCACTGAGGAGAGCTGACAGTATGAGGCTGATAAGGCTAAAAACCTGAACTATATCGAGGATCACAATCAGCTGACACGAAGGCCTCGGCTAAATCCACTTCTTAATTCATAACCAGACACTGAACCTGCCTCCTTCACCTGCTAAATTTGTAAACAACAAAAACAACTCCTGCAAACTGCATGAATCTCACACTTCTACCTTCACACTCTCACATATTAGAAATTCATTTGCATTCATCAGCAGCACCGCCCACCCCGAGGGGAATATGTTGGATTGTTTAGTCAAAATTACAATACAGCTGGGGCAATTTATCTCCTGAAAAGGCTGTTAATTTGTTCAGGAGGAAACCGTGTTTTCATTTGCATGTTGAATAAGGAGAAACTGGAGCAGACATCTTCCAACCTGTTACACCTCTCTCTTCACGGCTAATGAGGCAGGGAGCAGAGATTACTGATTCCACAGGGAGCCTTTAGCATGACAAACACACCATGACTTTACAGTGAGCACACACCACGTCCATGCAAATAAAAGTGTGAGTGAGTACACCTGTGTGTGTTGACTGTATGAATGCACTTATGAATATGCATGGCTCTGTGCTTACATAATGTCCTGCTTCCGACAATTTCATTCAATATAATTACATTAGATTAGTTTAGATTAGATCTAATCAGATAATTTCAAAATCAAACAGTGAGATAACCGGCTGCTAAAATAGCTTCTCTGCTAAGTGCGCTGATTTTGTTGTAGGACATAGTTAAAGAAGCTGGCTGCAAAGTGACTAATATGAAAATTTGATTGTCTTGACAGATATTATTATTGTGATTAAGGCAATATTACGATTCAATATAAGAGGGGTTTATATATTTTTTGCATTATCAACAGAAGCCATAAATTCTAAACATTATTATTATAGAAATTATTATTTTCAAGAAAAAAAAAGAGCGAAGAGTTGACCAAACTTTACAAATAGAGTACAGATCATAGCGGGAAGACAAGGAATGTGCATTAAGGGACACATCAAACTTTACACAGGGCCTGTTTCACAAAAGGATTGTGGGGAATCTGTGTCCACTTAACCTGTGGAAATGAAACTGCAAACTGCACAGAGCAAGACAGCTTTTTGGCTCGTCTGCGCCTGAATATCATAAACACTATAAGCATTGCGAATAAGAACTTCAGGCGGAGCAGATAGCTGGAGAAATTCTTAGTTAATCAGGCTCTGAAATGATACTGGAAAAGCAAGGCTATTCCATTTAAAACAAAATCAAAAGTCATCTCCAGGAACACCTTGTTCTACTTTTGTTTTGCTGGGAGAATGGGTTGACAGTGTGTAACGAACTTAAAACTTTCTAGGTGATTTCTATAGAACATTGAGGGTATTCCAGACATCAGTTTATAATCAACAAAGGAATATGATTATACACCACATTAAAACTTTCCAGTAGAGATTAAAGGTCCCATATTATGCAAAATACACTCGACCTTGTTCTTAAAACACTAATTTGTGTCCCTAGCCTGTCAATAAACTTTTGAATCATGACAAAAGTCCATCCTCTCCGTCTTTTGTGACATCACAAAGAGCAGTAACCCCTCCCCCAAGGTGTTTGTTCTGCCTTCTTAGTCTGCCCTCTCACAGTAGGGCATGGATTGAGAAAGCCCGAGCAACATCCCCTTCCAGATCAGACACAGCTCACTTTCATTTAAGACACAGACACAGACACAGAAGCAGCCTGTTCTGAGCAGGGCTGAAATAAAGAGGTTTGTATGATAAAATACAGGATCATATAGATTTTGAGCAAGAAACTTCAACAGCATGCTTTAGGGAGATTGGAGACTTATTTTAACTTGTTGAAAAGGAGGATAAAATGTGACCTTTAAGAAAATCTACTGCTTCCATCTGATAGTAGAACATGTCGAAGAAGAAAAAAAAAGCTGACCAGAGAGATTCTCAGAATGTTTTGGTCACATATTGCAGCGATGTTGAGGAGGAATAGAGGCAGATGAGTAAGCTTTGGGGAAAAGATACAGGGAAGAAGAGAAGCATCTCCAGAGAACATAAATAGTTAATGATGTCTTAGCCGCTCTGAGAAACACACCAGACCGACTTGTAAAGTAAATTCTCCATAAACACGCTCACACTGAAAGCACATGCAAACCTTGTGCGACAGAATGCAAATTCCCACGGCAGAAGAGCCAAGCTGAAAATCCAGACCCTCCTGCAGTGATCAGAGTTTAAATTGCGGTCTTATCACGAGGACTTTAAGTGCTAAAAGTGTTTTCTATTTGGAAAATCCAACAACTGAAAGCAAATGTTAAAGCACCCCTGGAAGACAAGAACAAAGCAGCCAAAAGCTAATGTAGCATTCAGATGTTTAATTAGCAATATCGGTACAGCACTTGAGTAACTGTGAAGAAGCCTGTGATTCTCTAACGCTTTGAGGTTTAATCTTTTGGCAACTAATGAGGCATTTTGGCTGAATTTTAACTGCTATCCTTACAGGAAAAAAAAAAAAAAAACATAAAGACCTGGGTCTATCACTGGTGCAAAAAGGCACTGAAGAGAAATACTGCCTTTAAAGTTTCCGTGTACACACACGCTGACTCGTGTGAGAAACACACACTGTGAGCACTACATCACAGGAGTTCATCATCGCTGGAGTGAGAAAAAAAGCAACGAGGCTTTTTGGCAGATTTCCTGCTCAGCTGGGGGTGACAAATTGCCAAAGCGCTCTGTCACAGCTCCACTTAAAGGCCGCTAACTGTTTCATCTGCTGTGATTCAGATCGCAGGCAGCCCGCTGGAAATGCATATTTCCAGCAACTTCACTTTCATCACACAACATGGAGCAATTAGATTCACTTTGAATGGCACTTTGAACGAGACAAGGCTCTATGAATCAAGGAATGGCTGATGTAATTCTAAAGAACCAACAAATATTTCCTGAGAGAAGCAACTTTGAAGGTGAGAACTTGAAGACAATCTTCATAAAAACAGCAGGTGTATTGAAGGAGGTGTTATCTTCCTTCTCAGACTGTCAAACATGCAGTTTGGAAGGTGGTAAGAACGGCAGCAACTCATATTCACATTTTAAATGATTTGAAAAATTATCACAACCATAAACCTTCTCTGTAAACACTGTATCCATTTTTCATTGGTCTAAAAATCTTACTCCCTCCATAAAATGGGATGTAAGGGTCGATAAAGGGTAATGTGGTCAAGCATACTATGAAAGTAAACATTTTTAAATAAGCAGAAAAGCCAACAGCATCATAAATCAACTTTGTTTGACTTTGTGTTTTTTAACTTCTTACTTTCGTTATACCGCCCACTTTTGGGACTTTCAAACTTTGAAATAAGACACTCTGAAGTTTGGTCTAAAGCGGAAATTTGGTGAATCAAGCTCATTCTTTGTAGTTGAATCTTTTGACCACACATCTGTTAACCATGTTTTTGCATGGCAACAGTGTCTGAGGACTTGAGTTTAGTGTGAATAAACAAAAGCTTATTATAATCACATTTATTTTATCTCTGACATGAATAATTAATTCTTGATTTTGCCAAATTGAACCAGCTGTTTTAATTTCCATTTTTACAAACCACAAACAAACCTTTTAAAAGAGGATTGTAACTATGTAGCCTACAAACTCTGTTTGTAACATTAACATGGCGACCTATGCTACACTGCTCTTCAACGAAAGGGCATCGTCCTAAAGTAGGTTAAAACCCACATTAATCTCAAGATATGAGTCAGACAAACAACAACTGATAATTTCTTGAGAATTTTTTTTTTACCGTCATATGCCACACCATCATTTGTGTCTTAGTGACAGTTTGATGACATGTAAGTGTTGCCATGTATTGTGTGGTTTGTGGCATGAATGATTTATCAATCAGTCACTTGAAGTTCAGACACACATTATTATAAAATCATTTCCCAATTCATCTGAAGATATTCAGTGATTTCTGCTTGTATAACTTTCTAAAGTAGGACAACATTAGTAGAGCAGGTGAGTAAAATGGTTCTCCCAGGAGGAGGCTGACTCACCTGAGGGTGAAAATTTGCACTGTAGAAAGTGTGGACAGAGCCAGAAAAGTGGAAAGTGTTTCTCTCTGCCGGATGGGTTTGGATGGTGCCATCACCATAAAGTTATTGTCCAGCTTCAGCTCAGACATTGGCTGAAACAGTCGGACACTCCCAATGCGCTGCATCGGTGTGTGCCCTGCAAAATATCCCATCGGCCTAGGCTGGTCTGTGTGTACCGGGCTGCCTTTCCTGGAATCCTCTGAGCTGCAGTCTCCGCTGTCTGTGGTTTGAACCATGTAGTAGAGCTCCACAGGAGTGCCCTGGGCCTGCTCCGAGACCCTCTGCCTGCCAGGCCTGATGGTGGGCGGGCTGAACCAGCTGGCCAGGGGCTCCAGCTCAGCTACACATATCCCTAACTCACCTTTAAGTCTACATGTTCCGCGCACTTCTTGAGTCTCGTGGAAGGCAAACATCCTGACGCAGGGCAGCTTGTGGATGGCGCTATAATCATCCCAGTCCCTCCCTGCGATGTAGAACAACACCTGAACCTTTGGCCAACTGGGATAAATCCTCTCACTGATAATATAGGTGTGGACCTTCCAGTTGAAGGTAAAAAGAGGTGGTGATGATGATGATGATGGCGCTGATGTTGACTCTGATGATGAAGAGAAGGACTGCGTGTTGAACGGCCCTGGCAGCGTCTGCAGCAGCTCCAGAGGGACGGGCTGCTGGATGGACAGCGGCCCGTAGCTGGCGTTGACAAAGGGCATTTGCCTGGCCTGGTGGATGAAGAAGGACTCTGTACGAGCCTGCAGGCTGGAGTTCCTCATAATGTCCTGATTGGCCTCCTGTAGGAAGAATGCTGACTCGGCATTGAGGATCCTGTAGCTGACAGGCAGATAGATCGGAGTTGGGCCTAACCTCTGAAGGCCCTCCAGGATCACCTTGCAGTCCACCACTGAAATAGAGAGAGAGAAAGAAGACATAGAAGAAGTTATAAAAGTGTTCACCTATGCCTCAACAACTAGGTAACAACACCAGGAGTCATTCAGGACACGTCTGGTTGTGTGTCATACTTTCTTCATGATGCCATTTCCATATGATATCACTTTATGAGCTATTTCTGTAAAATAACTTGTTAGACTCAAGTCAAAACAGTTGCGTCTTCCTGGGTCACGTTTAACACTTTTTCATGTTCTCTTTTGCGCTTGATCTTTCTCATTATGACACACTTTCTTCGTCTGTTTTTCTCTCTTTCATTTTTCTGTATTTTCTTTATTCACCTCAGACCTTATCACTGTCTCCTTCCTGCTTTCTTCCCTCTTTAATGCCAACTCCATCTTGTAATTCACCACAATCAAGTATGGAAAAAAATACATGATAACCATTGTTTGTTAATATGCATCATACCCAATCTTCATAATCTCCAAACATTTCTTTCTAACTGGTTTTGCACACAGCTACAGCACACTTCTGTCTTAACCAACCAGAGAGCCCATCCGACATCACCAGACCCTGCGGGGCCCTAAAACGTGCTCCCTTCCCTCCCTTTCTCCTCCCTGGAAAGTATCCCAATCCCTTGTTTTTCTTTCCCCATCATTCTCTAGATGGTCCATGAAAGGATATTGATTTTCTCTCTTGAACCCGCCATGCTGTTGAAGCCGTGGCATGGCAGTGATTTGTGACAGTTCAGGGCAGCAGAGCATTGACCAGCTTTCTTGATGGACAGACGCAGCTTCAGGCAGAGCACTTCAGAAAGAAGGAGGATGTGAGGATGTGTTTAAGGTTTACACCCCCTTCAATACTGTTCATGTAGTGTTACAACAATGTTTAGGATAGAAATGCAAAATATGGTCATGAAATAAGATGATTTATCATGATCTGATATCAAAACATTAAAATATAGGGTCGCTGGTAGCCTATAGTGGTCAGTACATGCGCCCCATGTACAGAGGCATAAGTCCTCGAAAGCAGGCAGGCTGGGTTCGAATCTGACCTGTCGCTCTTCCCTGCATGTCATTCCCCACTCTTTCTGTCTCTCTGGTTTCTGACTCTATTCACTGTCCTATCTCAAAAATAAAGGCATAGAAAAACACAAAAATAAATCTAAAGTATCAGGGTTAAATCAATTTAATAGTTGATATGCAATTTCTCACAAGGAGAGAGCCAAGAAAATAAACATGATCTAGTCAATATGTACATTTATTGACTATGGAAAGCTCCAGGTGCTGAAATTACATTTTAAACCTGTTCTGTTGAAGGTATACTTCATCCATTTGCATTAAGCTTTGTATCATTAGAAACCTCATTTTCCCCTGAGATGGGAAATCTTTGTATTTCTAAGTCTGAAAAGGAGCTTCCGATGACGCAAAAATCGTCATTTTGCTTCATTGGAAGCTGTTGCGGTTAGCGGGTTGAAACGACAACGCTTGTTCCTCATATTTTCGCCCCCTGAAGCTACAGACCTATCACAGATCAGTGGGTAGGAACTCACTCCCAGAATCCAAACTTAACATCCGCCATATTGCTTGGAAGCTACGCAAACAGGCTCTATGGAGAAAGCTGATAATGGCGAAAAAATATAAATATAGCTGCGAGACAGTTGCTGCCGACAGGCCGGTCTTGTGTCTTGGCAGCTGCGGCCGCTGGCCACTGGCCGCAGCAGCTGAAACAAAACCAGCCTGTTGGCAGCAACTGTCTCGCGGCTATATTGCTGGACACCGCCAGCCGCTACCAGCTGCCAGCTCAGCAGCTGTGACATAGGGCCTGCCTGTCGGCGGTGGTGAGGACAAGGAGCCGGGGTCGGCTCGAGCTGGGGCGGACTGGTAGTGTCGGTGCTCTCACTGTTTGCCTATGGACATAGAGTCTGTTTTCTGCCAGGAATTACCAAAATACCAATTCCTTCTGGGAAAAATCTCAGAATCAGTTCTACTGCATATATGACCCAATGTCAATGCAGATTCATGTTTGAACGGGTGAAGTATCCCTTTAAAGGGCCCTCTAAACACAATTTTGTAAGCTGTCAAGTGGGAACATCCCTTCACTGGTATTTCATCCAGTTAGTCCTACAACACCTTGGGAGTATGAACAGTTAACTCAGGCATCCCAGAGCTACCCAATCTCTATGCCATCTTCATTTTCAAAAGGGGAGAGAAGAGAGAGAAAAAAAGAAGGTGATGACTGATTTTTCTCCATTTACCCCAACTGGCATTATTTATCCTCAATCTGAGAAATAGTCCAAACTACAGACACCACAACTTCAACTCACCTGGGAGCCCTGACTTATCTATCCTTCCAACTGCTCTCCAACATCTTTCTTAAGTTGTCATATCTGTTCACCATCATTCAGGTCCCCATTATACCACCAACCCAAACTCCTCACTGACTTTTCTCTCATGGATGGAATTTCTTCCTCATCTCCAAAATCATCTTCTCTATTAACCTTCCTCTGGACACTGAAATGTTTCTTGATTTACTAGGCTTAATATGTATCCCAGTCCATTGAGAAACTGTTTTAGCTTCTCAAGTAATCTTTTTGTACATGGATACATGGCACTGTTGTGGTCACCAATGTCATGACATCATTCTAGGCCTAAAGTGGTGGGAGGTGCAACGCATTTTGAAGCTCTGATAACTACTTGCATAACCATTGTGAATGCTATTGGGGAAGTAGTACACCCTGCCATAATGCCAACTTCTAGTCTTTGCCAATCCAATGAATTGCATTCTAATATCTTGGAAAAATGATTTACCAGGCTTATCCTTGGCACTCAATCTTACTTCAAAATCATAAAAAAAGTTATCTTGAGAGAGTGGAAATCAGCTTTCCCTGTTTTTGAAATGACTTTGTTTCCTGCCTATATCCTGAAAACATTTAGTGCACATTGTCCAACAACCATCCTAAGTTTCTTTAGATCTGGGGACCTATTTTTGGATATATTAAGGAGTGATGCCAAAAATGACACTAAATGTCTTGGAAAGCCTTGAACTGATTCATGCTTTGATGCTTTCTGATCTCTGCTCTCTTGCCTCTATCTTGAGCATCCCTCAAACTTGAACAGTCTGGGATTCACAGACTTCTACCCCTGACCTTTAATCAAGTCATGGACACCGTAATCATTATCTGGACTGACATGGACACATAATGATTTTCTTTTTTTTTTTTAAGTGGCGGTTTGTTTTGTTTAGTTTATTACTGTTATTGCTATTTTAAATCATTTTGTTGTGATCCTCTGTTTCTGTCTTTGTCAGTGTTGTTAACATTAAAATTGGTTGTTAACACAACCAATAAAATGGAAATCAACAATATGTGTTTCTTTAGTATGGCCTTTGCAGCTATGATTTTGTAGTTTATTATCTAATTACAGCTATGATAATAAAAGTGGCTGCCCAAATGAAAAAAAGCCACAGACATTAACCTGATTATAGTCCTCTGTTCTATATAATCAAATGCATTCAAACTAAAATGATACTGATGTTGAAAACAACACCATAAAATAATGATAAAACAGTCATATATCTAAACTCCTCAGATTCCAGAGTGAAACAGCATCTTTATTTTCCAATGGGGAGGAACACCATAAAGGCCTCCACTGAGACGCTCACAGTGAGTGACTGTGGGAACAAAGTTTGACCAAAGGTGGGACGTTTACTTTAAAAGATGACAGAACAGAGAGCGAGGTCATGTGGGGAACAGGTGATTAGCTGCTGTTGGATCATGCTTGTGGTACAGTTGGAGGATTTTTCCTGTCTGGATCTGTTTCTCTGAGGGATGTGACACACTGTGGTATTTAGTTTTATTTGTGTCATGGAAAGTGGAAACTAGGACAAACAGCCCAGAAATATGTTACAATTTGTAACTCAAGGTTTAGAAAATGTCCCTTCCTAAGAAGACACCAACTGGTTATCATATGCAGAGAAGCAAGTCGATGTAATCTTCAGCTCTAATCTGTCCTTTAGATTTTATTTCTGCAGCTAAATGTACATTTTAATCATGTCTGCTGGACTGTTTGTGCAAATGAAAATGAGAATAATCAGCGTGGAAAACTTCACCCAAGTGTGCTAAATATCCACTGTAAACTGTTTCAGAGGATTTCAGAGCACTGGCAACCAATCAGGACAGGACCCGAGGGGTGACATATCAGACGTGATCTGGATCATATGTCTCTTTAATAGATGGATTTTTTTTATGTTGTGATGTTAAATCAATGTACAGTTAGCTAGCAGGCCCACGAGAGCATGGGTCTCTAAAATAGAATGCATTTCGAGAATTTCCCATTGAATCTGCAAAAAATCCAACTTCTTTAAGTAACTCTTAAAATGTATAACAGCCATGTGTTGCTTTAGATTTGGAGTATTTTTGAATCACCTGAGTTTATCCCTGACGGCTGAAGTCTAATTCCACCAAAGAAATATATTCCCTTCATCTCGTCTCCCTCCTCCTCCTCCTTTTTTTCTCGCCATTATTTAAACAGCCATCATGTGTGCATCTTGTTGTTTTATAGAAAATCAGCCAGGGTCCAGTGCTAAAACATCCCCTGATACCTTTTAAATGAAATGTGTTGCTTACACCATTTTCTCTAATGTTGCAAAAAAGAAATCCTCTTACTGCGTTTTGGTCTAAAAGTAGGCACATCTTGTCTTATGTCGTCTAATGATAAGATTTAAACAGCTTTTCAAATCCTAAATGTCCAAAGGTCCACAGGGTAAAACTTTGTGAAAGAGTTTTCTTTTGTTGCACATTTGCTCAATATGGGGGGTTTTGCTCGGCAGAGGAACTTCTGAGGGGACTTTAGGATCAACGTCAATGGACCTTATATCGGTCTTTTAAAGTCCATGTAAAGACCCACTTAGTTAAAGTTTGTTAAACAGCAGAAGACTGTGTTATTAACCACAAGGCAACATTTTGTAAACAATTAAGTTTTCAAATCATGAAAAACTAAGCAGTAGTTTCTGCTC